CTGGTTTGCCCCTAGCGGCTTAAATTTTTGGTTAATCAGAAATGATCCTTGCTAGCAAAACCCTTTAGGGGTTCCAGACCTTAAACCCTTTCTAAGTCTGATTCACTGATCTTGGAGCAGGAGCTCCTCAGAAGTTTCTCAAGGTCCATGTGTCTCCTTGAAAGGAAGATGATGTTTCATCTTCTCTTTTGCGTCTGTTCCAGTGAAGACTTACAAACAGCCCTAACTCTGTCAACACTGGTTGGTGAACGTTCCAGCTCTCATTGAAAACTTCATTGCAATTCAAATGGAAATGCAGGAATTCATTCTCTGGGACAGACTTGGGAAATATAAGAGAGAGAAAATACTTTTTTAAAAGTAGAGACAGACATTTATCTGTAAGGATATGCAGCTGATTTTCTGGCTGGCAGCTCAAGAGTATGACAGAAAGCAACAGTAGAACACTCTGCAAAGAAATTATGAAGTACTCAGTTCTCTACAGTTTGGAAACAATGGGGCATATGCACATACATGAATGTTTCTATCTCTGTCTCTCTTCTCTATCTCTAGCGTTATCTCTCTGTGTCTCTTCTTTGCCCCTCTCTGTTCCCAACTGCCTCTTCTTTGCTTCTCTCTTGTTCTTTGTCCCTGTTTCTTTTCCCCTCTGTCTTTCTTCTCTTTTCTCTCCTTAAGCCTTTTCAAAAGCAGTAATAAGATCTTTTGCAGACACCTGGCAGAACAAAGATACTGGAACATTCCTCCACTGGAAAAGTCTTGATAATTGCTTTCTCCAAGAAAAAAGAGCTGAAAGTTCAGAATATGTAAACAGTTGGTTAATTTGAACATATTCAGCCTCATCCACCACCAATAGTGACTATAGGGTGTAGAAGGGCAAAAGAAAGAACTCTTTATGTCCTTCTGATAGGGACACCCCAATTATATTGCTGTGGGAGTTTTAAGGTAGATTAATGCTGTGGTTTTCATGAGTCAGCAGTTGAAACTTAGATGTACTGAGTGGAATGAGATCAATAGAAAGAAACCTTTTTGGGGACTCAGTATCAACAAGATTAAGGGATTCAGAGTTGGAAGAGACCTTAAAGATCATTTAATCCAACCTCATCATTTTACAGATAAGAAAAATGAACCCTAGAGAGATTTACTAACTTACCTGGGTAAGGAATTCAAACTCAAGCTTTAACCCTAAATTCTGTTTTCTTTCTATTCCATAATTGCTAATGGGGACTGCATACACAGTCAAGAAAAGTTGTGCAGTCAGCACAATTTTTCTTCTGTGCTCCCAGATGCCAGAAGCTCTTCACTTACCCTGGCTACCTACCCCAGAGGAAATCATCTGATAATCTCATACATACTGATGGTTTGGGTCTTTCATATACTACTCCTTCTGGGGGGATTTGTATTTTAAAAGAGTAGCTAAGAAAGAGCACAGTGTTTATTCAAAGGGTTGAATCTGTAATGATGATACTTAACTCATTCGTGACAGGGAGAAGGGGACAATTTCAACAAGGTAGAGGAAGGCAGACAGGTACCCATTAATGTATACTCTATGGGTCAGAATTTGTCTTCATAGATTCATAGACATCCAAGAACTATGTGGCACATTGGATAGAACACTGGGCTTAGAAACAGGAAGACCCATCTTCCTGAATTCAAATCTAGCCTAAAACATTTACTAGCTGTGTGACCCTGGGCAAGTCATTTAACCCTGTTTGCCTCAGTTTCCTCATCTGTAAAATAAGCTGGAGAAGGAAATGGCAAACCACTCCAGTATCTTTGCCAAGAAAACCCCAAATGAGGTCACGAAGACAGAAATTTCCAGTGTCAATCTTCTAGCTCTTGTTGTTGTTCAGTCGTTTTCAGTCATGTCCAACTCTTTGTGACCTCATTACAGAGTAGGAAACTAAGGTCTGGAGAGGACATTTGTCCAAGGTCACACAGGAGTGGCAGGTCTCCTGATTCATAGCCCAATGTTCTTTCTACTCTACTCAGCCAAACTGATTCTACTCGAAGTGCTATCATATATTCAGGACTTCCCTTCCCAAATTAAGATCCTTCTAAGAATGACTATGTATGTGTATGTGTGGGTGGGGAGAGTAGGGAGTAGGAGAGAGTTGGAGGCAGCAGTGTGATTAGAACCACAGTCAAGGAGCTTAAGGTAGCTAAAGAGGAGGAGGAAAAAAATCTAAGAAATGTCTCAGCCCTGAACAGGAATGAGATAAATAAGCTCCTGGATGGCTACAGTGATACCATAGTTTTTATAAACATAACCTAATTGTATTACTTCAAAGTCCTGAAGTTTATTGCCCTGTTTAATGATGTGTCTCGTTATTTATAGTGTAGCTCAATGAGTCTTCTATTGATTTAATACACTTCTTTAAAGACTGTCATTGTCACAGCTATAAAATGAAGCTATTCCCAGTCAGCTCAATTATGTGTCACACTTCTATAAACCTCTCCAAGTCACCCACAGCTTTCAGGGATACAGGATGGGGGGGCAGGGGAGAGGGAAGGAAGGGAGGTCCCCTGACCTTGAGTAGGGGGAGAATCTGATGTCAGATAGTATCTGTTTCCAAGGGCCAAATTCTGAGTCTGAATTGTGGGTGGCTTAGTGTGGATAGGGGGAGAGGGGAAAAGTATGGGGTTTTGAGGTACAATGTTAGACTGAGTCAAGCTAGGCCAACTCGAAGAGGGTTGTTATTTATAATCCTCCCCTGGCTCCCATATGCCACAGAGGACCTCTCCTTAGAGCAAATAATGACAACTCATATATTTCTAGTGCTTCAAGACTTAGAAAACATTGTTTTCTCATAAATAACCCTGTAAAGCAGAAATGCTAATTATTATACCCATCTTACAGATGAAGGCACAGAGAGACAAAGTGATTTACCCAGAGTCATACAATGCCAGTTAAGATGTTAATCCAGGTCTCTCTTGATTCTGAATCTGGCATTTTTTCCACTATGCTAATAAATAGCTGCTTTACCTATTAAATTGTGATCTCCTTGAGGGTAGGGACTAACTTTTGCCTCTTTTTGTATCCTGAGTGCTTAGAACAGTGTCTGACACACACTTGGTTTATTGACTGACTGACTGAATCAGTATTAAATTCATTAGTATAAAATAACTTTTCTAAGGCACCATCCCATAATTTATCTGCCTCAATTCTCTCACCACTCCAGTCCAACCTATACCTTGCACACAAAGTAATTTTCTTGAAACACAGATCTGACCCTGTGATTCTTCTACTTAAGCAAATCTGGTGGCTTCGCAATGCCTCTTGTATAAAATATTAAACTCCTCTATTTACCTTTTAAAGCCCTATACAACCTAGTTACAACCTATCTTTCAAGACTCTGATGCTCTGAAATCCTGCCAAACAATCCTTCCCTCTGTTTCTCACATAAGATACTGAATCTCTTTTTTTCCATGCTTTTACACTGGCTACCCCATCTCTGGAAGGCATTCCCTCCTTACCTTCATCTCATACGGAGCCCCTCTCTTCCTTTAAGGTGCAACTCAAGCACCATTGCTGGTGATAAGACTTTTCTTATCCCCTTAAACAGTGGTGTCCTTCCTCCCAAACTACCTTGTATTTCACTACTTTGTGTTTATTTGTACTCATTAACTTTATATATTTTAGCCACATACATATATTATTATTTATTTTTCATCTCCTACAATGGAATGTAAACTCATGGGAAATGGGGATTGTTTCATTCTTTTTAATTGTATCCCCATACATGCTAGGCACTTAATAAATATTGATTGATTGATTGATCTTATTCTGGGAAGCAGGCAAGGTATATATTAAGCTCTTTCTTTTCCAGATGATGTCTTGGAGGTTAAGTAACTTGCCCAGGGTCACACATTGGGCTAATAGTAGAGTCAGGCCTAGAAGCCACATCTCCTGACTCCAGTCTAGGTGAGTAATCAATTTTACCAGCACATCAGGAAAGGAGATCACCACTGAATCATACATTTAGTTCTGGAAGGGACTTTGGCAATGGTCTCCTTCAACCTCTTCATTTTGTAGATGGATATAAACAAGGGTTGGATGACTTGGTCACATAGGAAATAGGTAACAGATCCAAGATTTGAACTCTTCCCTCTGACTACAAATTCAACATGTTTTCCACTGTACCAGGATGCTTCCTAGAATCTTGTGACATTCCCCTGGGCAAGGGGATCAAGAGAAATATAAGGAGACTCTAAAGGTAAAATTTCAGGGTTGTTGTCCCTTTCTTTTAAGATGATGAAATCATCACACTTCTTTTTTGGGGGAACCTAGAGGGGTATGTGTGTGTGTGTGTGTGTGTGTGTAGAATAGAATTAGGAGGGGAAAGGTATCAGTGAAACCCATTCTGCCCCCATATCCACTTAAAACCATGAGCAGAATTCAGATGAGATAGGAGAGTAGCGCATATACATTAGAGAAGATCAAAGCTGCAAAGGTATTAGGACTAGATTTCTGCTTCCTGGGGAGCTTGAGACAGAACTCATAGCATGTTAGAATTGTTAAAAATTTCCATACTAAGCCCTTCCTTTTAGAGATGAGGAAACAGGCCCAGAGAGATTAAGCAAGCTTCCCAAGGTTAGACAGTTAATCAGTTGTTGGACAAGGACTAGAAAATAACTGGAAAGCATAGTACCTATGCACAAACATATCAAAATAAAAGGGATGAATTGAACAATACTAGAAGGCACTTAAATGACCACCTATTCTAAGCCCTTTGTTGTAAAGAGGAGAAAACTGAGGTCTAGAGAGAGGAAGTTACTTAGTTGAGGTCACACAGATGGGAAAGCAGTGACTCTACTGTTCTTTCCACTAAGCCAGGTGGCCTCTAAAATCTTCCCCTTTTTCTAATCTTTTTTTTGGGGTCATATTTCCCCAGACTGAGTTAACTAACTGGGCCAGTGGGCTATGAGACAGCACGAAGGGCAAACCAAGCAGGAAACTGGATTCCCTTTCCTGGGCCCTGTCACATGTTCAGTGCTCACCTTACCTTTCTGATACTGGAGCCATAGCTGCTGTTGGACTTTCTTGCTGGGGAAGTGGATAATGCAGGTGAGCTCAGAGCCATACAAGGCTTCAGCGATGTAGTGTGAGCCATAATGCTGGATGAAGGACAGTAGCTCCTCCCGGCTACTCTCTTTGTCGAGAATCTTCAGGATGTTGGTGAACCCTGGACAAGGAGGTGAGCACACAAGAGGCAACCAGGTTAGAGCTATCAGACCAATGAGATGTCAGGAGGGTCATTTAACGGCTGTGAACAAATTAGGTTCCAGTGGACATTTAAACTATCCCTATAAAAGACAGTGAACTAAAGAAGTCATCAGCTCCATTCATTCATTATTTTACTGAAGGGGCATTAATTAAGCACCTATCATATGCAGAATGCCATGCCAGGCACTGGAGGAGATAACAAGTTTGGATGAAATGGAAGTCTCTATCCTCAAAGAACTAGATGGGAGATACTAATGTGCAAACACAGATAATAAGCAATATAAAACAATAGTAAGCAACATGATTTAGTGGGAAGAGTGATGGATTGGAACCAGAGGACCTACATTCAAATCCTTACTCTGTTACTTACTACTTGTGTGTCCCTGGGAAAATTATTTAATTTCACTTGGTCTCAGTTTCCTTGTCTATGAAATTGAAGGAGTTGGACTAAATTAATTCTAAGGTCTCTTCTAGCTCTAAATTCTATGAGGCTCAAATTGCATTAGAGTTTCAAAACAAAATGCTAAGTGATGTTCAAAGATGAAGGTCATTACTGACCAGTGGGAAGGCTGCTGTGAGCACTATCCTCATTCTCTCAGTCAACCAAGTGCAAAACCTCAGTCATATTGACTATTCCTCCTGTACCCCCAACATCCAATAATTCATCAAAGTCTACTGATCCTTCCTTGGGAATGTTTTCAGCATCCATGTTCTCCTCTCCATATCCACTGCTGTCACCCTATAGCAACAGCAACAACAACAATACAAATAATTGTCATTTTTTTGGTCCATACATCAATCAATAAACATTTATTAAGCACCTCTTATGGGATAGGCACTGTGCTAAGACCTTACCTATACTTTTACTGGTACAGTGAACTCTTGGTGAGGAGATTCCCTTATCAATTCAGATTGGAATCTCTTCTCTGACTTATAATTTTGAGACTGACTTAGGGCACAGGAAAGTTAAGTGACTTACCTAAGATCTTATAGCTAGTGTATGTCAAAGTTAAAGTGTTACTGACTCCAGGGATCACCCTTCAATGTGCTATAATGCCTTCTGACTGATATTTACATGACAATTTAAGATTTTCAAAGGACTACATAATCTTCTCTCTTCCTCTTGTATATATCTCCTCTTATTTAAACTAACCTTGTGGGGTAGGTACTACAGGTATTATTACCCCCATTTTACAGGTAGGAAACTAACTGATTTCTCTATGGTCACAGCTATTGTCACAAATTAGATTTGAACTCATATCTTCTTGACTCTAGATATAACACTCTATGCACTGTGCTATGCTACCTCTCCTAACCTAGACACTGTAACAAATTTCAAATGGGTCTCTCCCTCTTCAAATATATCCTATGATCAGTGGATCAGTACAAGAGAAAACTTCCCCAAATGTCACTTTCATCACATCACCTTTGGTCCCAAACCTTTAATGTCTCCTCACTGCTGACAAAATAAAATTCTTATGTGTTACAGTGGTTTTTGAGGTTTTCTGTAATAAGGTACTAAACTTTCTTCCTAGTGATCAAAAAATAAGGGTGCTCTGTTCCAGCCATAGGAGGATACAGATGATTTCATTGGTATAGGGAGCTCCTGCATGAAGAAATTTCCTCAACCAATTCAGGTCCACATATGTAGGCCTCTGCAACTTAGAGTCTCAGGCTCCAGTGAAAAGTGAATCATTCATCGTATGTGTTGTGCTTTCTAACCTCCCTTCCCCTTGCTCAAGTCCTGACTGGAATTCCCCCTCTCCCTACATCCTGTCCTTATCAATCAAGGTCCATCTCAAGCCCCAGATAGTTCAGGAAGTCTTTCAAAATTGTTGTCATTTAAAAGCCAACAAAGATGTGGAATTCAGCCTTGTGTAATTATAATGACCAAGCTTGACCCTAGAAAAGAAATGAGAAGATACACTTCTTTCCTTTTCTCATTGAAGGGACTAGGGTGGGGTTGGGGTGGGGTGGGAAGGGAGGCATCTATGAATGTGGTAAGTTGCATATGCTTTCAAACACAGCTGATGTTGGTTTTTCTAAACTTTTTTTTTTTCTTAGTTGTTACAAAGGAAGGTTTGCTGGCTATGGATGTCATTGAGGGAGGAAAAGAGGCGGGGAAGAAGCATATAGGGAAATGAATGTGATACAAAATAAAAATCAAACCAACAATACACCTTTAAAAATAAAAGAAGCCTTTTCTACCCACAAGAAATCTCCCCCATTGAACTTATAAAATTCAGTATCTGTATCATCTGCTTACTACTTAATCATATATTGCCTTCTGATTTCTCTGGTAATGTTGTCTTATATCATAATTCTTCAGCACAGGATTTAATGTCCCTCCCCTGCACAAGAATCATATTTCCTCTAGGATAGAAAACAAACTCCTCGGTTTGGCATTTGAAGCACTTCCCAATCTGGCCCCAACCTCTCTTTCCAAGCTGATTATATATTACTTCCCCTCACACTTTACCAAGCTAACCTATTCCCTATTCCTATACCAAGCTGCTGATTCCCATACAAGACATTTCATTTCCTGTCCCTGTGATTTAGCATAGGCTGTGCCCATGTCTATTATGCTTTCCCTTTTTAGATCTGCCTCCAGTGTCCTTCAGGTGTTACCTCCCACAAAAGGCTTTCCCTGATCCCTACCCCCTCAAATTACTTATTCTGAATGTATTTTCTATATACTTATTTGTGTACAAGTTTGTTTTTTTTCCTTACCAATAAACTATAAGTTCCCTGAAGGCAGGGACATTTCTTTTGTCTTTATATCTTCAGCACTTAACACAGTGCTGTCACATAGGTGCTTAATAAATGCTTGTTGAATTAAATCGAATTGAATATACATCTATCTTGTCTCCCCAATTAAAAGGTAAACTTTTTGACGTCAGGGATCATATCTTTTGTATGCCCCATAACATCCAACACAGCACCACATACAGAGTCTACATAATGTCTATATTGAATGAATAATTAAAAAAAATATTCCTGGTACAGAAGTAATGTTGAGTTCTCAAAGGCTATGTCAGTCAGTCAACATGGGAAGGCATTAGCAATAGAGGCATAGGGAAAAAGGCCTCTGGCAGAAAGGAATTTGAGCTGAATCCTGAAGGAAGCCAGGCAAGTTTTGAGGTAGAACTGAGGAAGGAAACCATTCCAGGCATGGGAGCCAGCCAGCACAAGGCACCAAGTCAGTAGATGGAGTGTCCTGAGTGAAGATCAGCAATTTGGCTAGTATAGCTGGATTGCAGATTGTGGGGAGAGGAGTTAAGTGTGAGAAGATGAGAGAAGTAAGAAAGAACTAGGTTGTGAAGGCTTTGAAATGCCAAACCAAAAAGTTTGGAGGATGATATGGACAGATCTACACTGCTGGAAGGTCAGTTTTACAGAGGAGTGGAGGACTGATCGGAGTGGGGAAAGACAAGAAGAAAGGACGGCAATTTTAAGGCTATTACAATAGAACAGCAGGGAGATGATAAGTTACTGGCAGTTTCTACCAAACTGGAAAGATGATTAGTTTTGGTCCAGGGGTGGAATCAGCTTAGATAAGTTCAGAGAGGTTCAGCCTCTACGTAGTGATTTTTTTCACTCACAGCATCTTACAAAGACCTTCTACTAAGGTGTGGATGGGTTGTGGTCATTGTCAGTGAGAGTAATATGCCAGTGAAATTAAATAGCCTTGAAATAAATAGAAAAGGCCGCACTGAAGCTTTTTATTAAATACTAAGCTCCCTTCATGCATTTTGCATAGGATTCAATTTACAAATATTTGATTTACACAGCACTTTTTCAGGGACCAAACTATTAATTAATTAAAGCAAGTTGTGCCTGTATGGCTCTAACAAAAATGGAGCAATATAATTTCCAAGCTTAGATTGAGGGAGAGTTGGGATACAGGGAGAAGGAAAACACCCATCATAGGAAAAGGACATTTAATTAATACACAGCCCTCTCTGTCAACTGACATCACATCAATTAATTCACATCATTAAGCAATTAATATGTCTATGTTAAAAAGATTATTGATTGTGTTAAGAATTAAGAGCAATAACGCTGATTCATAATATATCACTTTTCAGCTGGTGAGGCAGAATATTTTACAACCATCAATGGATGAAACTATCCATTCTAAGAACACAGTAGCAGGTATAACTGATTTCATTTTGCTAATGGATAGAGGCATGGAGGAACATGGGGATTTGCTCAACTAGGAAGTAAATTGCCAAACTCTGGATAGGACAATGAAGTATCCTAAAACCTAGTTTTCTTTTACACCTATTGGCAATATGGCATATGTCTTGCTATGTCAGGAGTTCTTAATTTAGGGTCTGTAGACTATTTGTCTGTGAACTTGGTTGGGGAAGAATGCATATTTATTTTCACTAACATCAAGCTGAAATTTGTTGTTTCCTTTAATTATTTAAAATAGCCTTTTTTTCCCCCTGAGGAGTTCATAGGCTTTAGCAGACTAGCAAAGGGGTCTGTGACATGAAAAGGGTTAAGAACCTCTGCCCTATGTCAAAAACATTTCAGTGGAAAGAAATGTTGCAAGTGCAGTCTCTATATAGAAAATGGGCAAGGCAAGAAATTAGCCTGGCACTCTCAGGGGACCCACTATGACAATTTAGAAGATTTTAGATAACGTTAATCTCTCTTCCTCTCATGACCTGGAGCTCTTCTTATCTGAACCATGAAATCTTAAACATGATTTTAACCTGTCATGTAAAGTTACCTCTTCTGTACATGTACGCCTTGTCTCTCCAATGGGAGTGTAACCAGTTAGAGACTATGACTTTACACTTTTTTTTGTCTTTCCATAAGCTCAGAGAATTGATGGACCTATTGGTTGATTAACTGCCTGAACTAACTTTCTTGGTTGGAATACATAGCCCAGAGTGGGGAGATGCTTCCATGTACCTGTGAGTAAAGTTCAGACTCCTCTGCCTGGCATTTAGGGCCCACCACAATCAGGTGATACCCTACTTTTACAGGCTTATCTTCCTCACTTTAATGTACTCGATATCCCCAACAAACTGGACTATTTTGCCTTCAGAACATACATCACTCTTTTTCCCCACTTCCTTTGCTTACATATATATTTATACATATACACACACACACATACACATATATATACATATATTTCATATATGTATATGAAATTATACCTATCTATCTGGAATTATATCCCCCCCTCTATCTTTTGAGTTCATATTCATCCTTTGAAACCCAATTCAAATGCCACTTTCTCAAATGGCCTCCCCGCTCACATATGCAATAATATTTGATTTGCATTTCTATAACAAACTTATTATATAATATTGTATATTATAATCATCAATATTGGTGTTAGCCTCCAATTAGACTGTAAGCTCCTTAAGGGTAGCCACCCTGTCATATATAAATTTTACCACATCCAGTGTCTAAAACAAGCATACTTAATAAATGCTTGTTACATTACAGTGGTATGTTTGGTATGGTATGACATGGCATGACTTGGTATAGTTTGGTATAGCAGTGCAATGAGTTTCTACCTTTTACAGAAAGGTGAAAGTGTGTGTGTGTGTGTGTGTGTGTGTGTGTGTCTGTATGATTCCTTCAAGGATTGCTGTATTTGACAAAGACAGACAAGATATTCATTCAATCAAAAAGACCAAGGCCCAATATGGACTAGAGGAGGATGGCTGTTGTCTGTTGGTTGGAGGCCCTCACCTGCAGAGAGAGTGATGGTACTGAGTTTCACCCGGTACAGGTTACTACGGACTCGCCACTGCTGCACCATGGGATAGCCCATTGCCTCGTCATACCGGATGTCCCCTGTGGGAGGAAAGCAAAAGGTCACAGAAGTAGGAAAAAGAATCAGTCACACCTGCATAGGTTTTAATCATAGGGAAGTGAGATCCTAGAGCTGGAAGACACTTTAAAACATAAGATGCTTGATTTTGGAGGGAACTTAGAACACAGATTGTCAGAAATGAGGGGGGCCTTAAAACATAGATTGTAAAATCTAGAAGAAGCCTTAGAACATCGAGTGCTAGAGCCTGCAAGAATCCTAGAGTACAGGTTATTAGAATATAGACTAGCCCAACTGGAAGGGACTTTAGAAGTCAATAAGTCTGACCTCATTTTATAGATAAGGAAGCTGAGGCACGGAGAAGTAAAGTGACTTATCCAGCATCACAAAGCCGACTAGAGAAGAATCTAGCTCTGTATGACCTTTGTCAAGCCTTTTAACTTTTATAGAACCCAATTTCCTCATGTGTTAAATGGGAATAATATGACAGCCATCCCACTACCTCATTTGGGGTGGAAGGGTAAGGGCATTGAGGAACAAATGAAGTAAAGAATGCTAAACTGTTTTATAAAGGTAAAAATGTCATAAAATGGTAATAGATGATCATTATTTTTATACCAAAGTCTTCCTCCAACCACTAATTATGGTATAGAGATGACAATGGGTGTTAGAAGACACTGCCTATGTCATATAGAATCTGGCAGGTTGTACAAAGCTGTGAAGCCTTCAAGTCGGCTTTGGAGACACATGATATTTATGTCTATTGTCTAAGGAACAGCTCAAGCGGAGTACCTTTCTTATCTCCAGAAGTCTGGCCACCATAATAAGTCAAGCAGATTATCTACTAAGTCTTAGAGAGATTGCAATCTGCATTAGTGGAGAGAGTTCACATGCTGATGAAATTATGGATCTCTTAATCCACAATAATCATAATCAAAATAACATAATAATAAAATAATCAAAAAAGGACTATCACTATTATTTCCAGATACATGGCAAGAACAAGGCATGTTATCTGTTCCCTCTTGGTCTCCTGATGACCTCTCATTTTAAATATATTTGATACTGAGATTAAAATAAGTGCATCATTGAATCAATTTATTTTTTCTTGGACATTATTGTGGTTAAAAAACAAAATAAAACAAAATGGTCCATTATGCTCAACTTCTTTTGAACATTATTAACCTTTCAGTACCAAAAAACAAAAATATCAATTACCTATGTTATAAAGCAAAATATATATTTTCCCTGAATACATACCCATTAGAAATAATTAGGGAGAGGCAGCATGCTGTGATATATAGAATGTTAGGCTTTGAGTCAAAAAGACCTAGGTTCAAATTCTGGTTCTGAAACTCACTAGCTGTGTGACCCTCATCAAGTCATTTCATTTTTTTCCCTCAGGAAGCTCTCTAAGACTTCACATTATAGACAGATAGACAGGTTGTGATTTGTGTTGATGGACAGAGGCCTTCTGTTTATTGTTCTCCATGTATTGACACAGACATTCATCCTAATAAGATTTCATTTCTATTAATTCATTCTGTCTCTCTTCTTTCCCATACACTTCCACTTTTGTTTGTCCTTCTTGGCTACTTTGGTGTTTGTAGAGCAGATGCTTCTGGAAATGAGTAAGAGGTCAGAAAGATATTCTGGAAGCTCAATAAACAGCAGAGTACCATCTTTAGGAATTAGAAACACTCTGAATAGAACATAGATATCCTATTGAAACTCAGAAGGCAGATAGATGATTCAAGAGCATGTGAGCCTACTGCAGGAAGGGACAGAAAAATGGCAGATGTTGAGTGTGAATCTGCTTTATTTAAACCCTCTTGAGCATTAGCAGGGATGCCAATCTTGGAGGTAGAATGCTACCCAAAGAAGGGGCCATTCAGGCAGAGTGGGACTTATAAAACTCACTTCATAATGACTCCATCTGCAAAAGAGGTGCTGCCTCTTCATGGTGTCTGGCAGTGAATTTAGGAAAAGGATGATGGTGGGGGTGGTACACAGTAACTAAGAGGTATCATGATTAGCAGTGGAGGATGCTCAAATTGAACATTCAGTCACACTCCTGGCTTCCATGTTGCAAAGGGCCTCACTACAGCAGCATAAAGACACAGAGCAAAGTGGAAAGAATAAACTTTAAGTGAGAGGCAGAAATATAATAGGGGGACATGCGGAAATTTAGCAGGAAGAAAGAAGAAGGGAGAAGAGATAAGATTGTCTTCTGGGGAAGTAAAACAGATTTAAAGTATATGCAAATCCTACTACATGATGGATTTTTTTGTTTGTTTATTTTTACACTGAAAGTTCTAACAAGGACATTAAAAAAGAAATAGACTTAGAAATGGAAAACTTTCCACATTCTGATGCCTAGAATCAAGAAAAACGGTGAAAGGGAAAGAATATATTGTATATGAATTAAGAGGATCTGGATATGAATTCTGCCTTTGACATTTCTTTCCTGTGGCATCCTGGGCAGGTTACTTATCCTCTCTGTGCCTTAGTTTCCTCATCTGCAAAAATTAGGGGTTTGAACCAGATGATGACTAATGTCTCTAAATCTATGATCCAGGCTCTGAAGTAAACTTTCATATGAAGTCAAAGCTACTTGAAGTATTTCAGAGGCCTTTTAGGGAGGTAAAAGCACTGGAATCAAAGTGAGGAATGCCGAGTAAAGAACCCTTGCACGTGACATGTATCAGCAGTGTGAGCCAAGGCAAGTCACTTCCTTTTTCTGAACCCCATTTTTCTGATTTAAAAATTGGAATTGATATTTGTACTGTCTCTACTTTACAGGGTTGTTATGATGAATTTGCTTTCTAAACTCTTATATGCTATAGAAATGTGAGTTAGATTTCATTTGCTTTTTCTTCCTATGTCAAGGATGACACTATGTCTAAGGCCTGGAGCTTCCCCAGACTTTCTGCCCTCTTCCCCAGAGAAAGAGGCATCATTGAATAAGCAGGGCTCAGGGCTGGCTGAGAAGAGAAAGAAGGGACATTGGGTCTTACCAGTGAGCATCTGGAGATCTGGAAGAGGCTCTGAGAGTACACCTCGGCACTGTTCCTCCACAGGCAGTGGGATCACCATCAGCCCGTCAGCCAGCTGGGGAAAATCCTTGATGAAGTTGTTTTCCCTGCAGAAAGGAGCAGAGATATATTCCAAAGCAATGGAACAGGAGGCTTTGGGAAAGAGGGGGCAGGGCTCCAGTCTAAATAACCATAGGACCTAAGAGTAGACCTCTTGATGCTAACTGGCAGGACTTGGGAAATTGTGCCTTCTGCTTAGATTTTAAGGCAGCCTGAAGTATGCTTCATTTAGAGCCCCAAAGAGAAGAGATACTATCTTCTGAGATATTTTCCATCTCTTCTACAGTCAACTAACTAACTACCCAATATTTATTGATCACCTACTTTGTCAAAGGTACTGTGGGAGATTCAAAGATATATCTGATACAAATCAGCCCCACAAGGAGCTTACAGTCCAGTAGGGAAGACAAGACACATATACATAAAAAGATAACCCACAATGCAAGACGGTATACAATAAGGATCAAAAGAGGGATATGTCATGGTATTGAAAGAATCCTGGATTTGGAATTAGAGTCTCAGAGTTGGAAGGGACCTCAGAAGACATCTAAACAAACGTATCCTGAACAAAAATGTCTACTACACCACTACCAAGTAGTACTCATCCAGTCTTTGCTTGAAGACCTCTAGAAAGGGGAAACCCATGATCACAAGAAATAACCTATTGTGCATTTGGAAAGCTGCAGTTAAGGAGTTCTTCCTTATAGGGAACCTAAATCTGCCTCAGCAACTTCCATGTGCTGCTTTTCATTCTGCCCCTATAGGCCGAGCAGAACAAATCTAAAGCTTCTCCTCCCACCCCACCCCCACAGAGCAGCTCTTCCAGTAACTGAAGGCACTTATTGTGCTCTTTGCTAAGTCTTCTCATCTGCAGGCTAGACATTCTTTTCCCATTCTTTTCATTGATCCTCATGTACAGAGTAGTCTCTTTGGCATCTTGGTCACCCATGCATAGATACTCTTCTCTTTACATTCATATCTTGGCTTTGCTTCTTCCTATTTCTGTAACTATGAGAAAATTGCTTCATCTTTATGGGCCTCAGTAATAAGAGGAACAACTGGCATTTATAATGTACTTGAAGGTTTACAAAGTGCTTTGCACATGTTACCTCATTTGATCCTTATGCCACCCCTGTGAGGTAGATGCGATTATTACCCCATTGGACAGATGACAAAACAGGGTGAGGGAGGTTGAATGATTTTCCTAGATCCCACAACTAGTAAGTCTCTGAGGCAGGACTGGAGCTCAGGTCTTTCTGACTCCAAATCTAGCACTCAATCTCTTATGCTACCAGTAGCTTCACCTGTAAATTGATAGGGTTGGCCTAGATTGTCTTTAAGGTATCCTCTTGCATCAAATTCCGTGATTCTATGCTCCAATAATTGTATAGACCACAAATGCTACAAGAGTTCAGAGGAACGAGGTAACTATGAATTGGGAAGGCAAAGAAAGACTCCCTAGATGAGGAGGGACTTAAATTGGGCCTTGAAGGAAACACAGGATTCAGATAAGTAGAAAGGAGCAGAGGAGTGCTAAGGAAATCAGAGTGTGCATGATAAGTTGGACATACTAGGGCCCAAATCTACCAGACTACCCAGAGATATTCTGTCACATAAAGAAGCTGGCTCATACTGTGATTAACTTATACATTACTCCTTTCCGGAGTATTTTCACTTTAAAATTACTGGATGGAAAGGCATGACTTTCTAGCGGTGGAATTTCAAGCAAGATTCTATGAACTGTAAGCTTCCCTATTAGGCTGTAAACTTTTAAAATATAGGGACCATGTCTTATTTATGTTTCTATCTCTCTTAGGGCCTATCAGAGTACCCACCACGTAGTAAGTGCTTATTCAATGTTTGCTGGATAGAGATAGGGACTGGAGCTGTGATTTTACTGCTGTAGGGAGCTCCCAGTGAGGAAGTTCCCTCTGCCAAGGCATGTCAACACCTTCTCTGGAACTTATTTCCCCAGAGTTGCCTCGAAGACCAGCGAGAGGCCAGAACTTGCCTAGTCACACAGCTAGTATGGGTCAGAGGCAAGACCTGAACCAAGGGCTTCCTGGCTTGGAGGCCAGTGCTCTCTCCACTACGCCATGTTGTCTCTCTCAATATTTGTTGAGCAAATGAAATACTTTTGGTGGTTTTCACTGGCTATCCCCCATTCCTGAAGCATTCTCCTACCTCATGTCATCTGTAGGCTTCCCTGGCTTTCTTTAAATCTCAGTTAAAATCTCCCCTTCTGCAAGAAGCCTTTCCCAGTCCTCCTTAATCTTAGTGCCTTCCTGCTCATATTATCTCTAATTTATCTTGTGTGTGTATGTATATGTGTGAGAGTGTGTCTTCTTTGTACATAGTTGTTTGCATAGTCTTCCCTCTTACATGGTGAAATCCATAAGGACAAAGTCTGAGTTTTTTACTTTCCCCAGTGCCTGGTATGTAGTAGGTGCTCAGTAAGTGCCTGTTGACTTGACACAGTCAAGGTGGCCTTCCTAGTATCCATCACATCATGCCTAATAGGAGGCGGCTTTACTTTCTTAATCTTGTTGGGTTGGCCTTTCCATCATATCTATGGGAAAGGATACCCATTACAGCAGAGTACTGGACTTAGAGTCAAGAGACCTGAATTTGAGTTCCAGCTCTGATACTTAGTGGCTGTCTCTTAAACTTCATAGACCTAATTTTTTCTCATCAGTGAAGTGGGGATAATAATATTTTTACTAACTACTTCACAGGGCTGTTGTGAAAAATGCACTCTGTAGACTCAAACACACCACAGAGATAAGAGTTGTTGTCATTCTTATCATCATCTTCATTGCAAACCCCAGTGCCCCAGTCCTGAGGGCCAAGAGTCGATTTGTTCTTCTAATAGACTTTCCCTGTACAAGTATTGCCTGTGGTGGCTGCAATTACTCCCAGCCTCTGGAGCCTCAAGGAAGGAGAAGGAGAGAAGCAAAGGGAGGGGGATGTTTATAGCTCTATTTCTCCACTTGGCACAAACAACCTTGAAGTTAAAAACAAAATGGGAAAAAATGAAAGTAGGCACAACAACAAAACAGGTACAACCAAAACAAGCCCTTTGAAGCCTGTTTCCCAGAAAGTTGAAAGGCAGCTGCAGAGAACTGAGAATTAACGTGGTCACGTTCTTTCTATGGGCTGTGGTTCCCCTGGCACCAGAGTACCCTGCCTTCAACCACTGCAGGCAGGAAGGATTGGTTCTCCCTCATGGGTCAGGGCAGAATTTCCAAACCAGATTTCATTTTCAAGGAAGATGATCAATGTTGAGGCATGGTATCCATCACAGAGGTGATAAGAGTCTGAGACTAGAATAAAATGAGAGCTTAATGATCCTTCTACTCTGATGTTTGGGCCATGTGACAGACCCTTCCTGGGGTCACTAGGGGGTGTGTGTGTGTGTGTGTGTGTGTGTGTATGTATGTGTTTAAAATAGCTCAGATTAACTAATTACAGCAGCATATAGCCATGGAAAGAATCAAAGCTACTAATTGTGAGAGTGATTTTCAATATATATATTTAAACAAACAAAAAAGACATAAGCCTCAGAATCAGCAGACCAGGGACAAATTCTAGCTCTGTCACTAACCTGACCTTGAGAAAGTCACACTCCCTTTCTCAGCTTCATTTTCCTCATCTGTAAAGCAAGTGAGCTGGACTTGATGAGACCCGAGGTCCTTTCAACCTCTGTGGCCACATACTCACACCTCTTTTACTTGGGATTTACCTTGATGGGCTGGGACTTCAACCAGATGACCTCTGAGGTCCTTTTCATCTCTAAATGAGGATGATAGGACCATAGATTTAGAAATAGAAGAGATCTTAGAGATCTTCTGGTCCACCCCCTTTCCTTTTACAAGTGAAGAAGTGAAGCCAAGAGAAATGAAGTAATTTGAGCAAAGTCGAATAGTAAATTGGATTGGAAGCCAGGTCTCCAAATCCAAAACATTTTTTTTCCTCTGTACAACAATAAGTAAATCAAAGGATTGTGAAATCTAGAGCTGAAAGGGATCTTAGAGGCCATCTATTCCAACCCTTTTATCTTACAAATAAGGAAATTGAGATCTAGGCATGTTAAGTGACTTGCCCACGGTCTCACAGGTGGCAGAGTCTTGTGAGTGCCTCGCTTTGCCTATTTTCGAGCTGTTTTAAGAATCATGTGACATATTTGTGGATGCACTTTGTAACCTGTAAAGTTGCAACATCTGCACAGATGTGGCTGGATTTTATTTTCATCATTATGGTCAGTAATTATAGCTGCTACCCCAACTAACCATTTCAATACCGCAGAACATCGAAGGTGTTTTCTCCAGCCAGAAGCTAGGTAGATGCAATTTGGGATTTGACCAGCAGAGGGCTCTAAATTCCTTTCCATTTGCTTTTCTCTGACAACCTTGGCAGCCCTGATTTCTTCCCTGGGATTTGTCCAAAAAAACTTTCTTTTAGGCTTCCCAAGAGCACCTTAGAAAGGCTGATTGCATCTTCTACCTGATGGCCTGGTTGGACTTGGCACCAAAAGCCAGAAGGAGAAGGAGTAGAGAAGGAGGGAGAAACAAAGCAGGATAGAATTTTTAAAAAATCACAGAATTTGAGAGTTGAAAATGAGCCTGGTGGCCATCTAGTCCAACCCACACTTGAAAGGAATCTTCATTCTTGTATACCTGATAAATCACCCTGGAGTCTACTTGAAAGATCTCCAAGGATGAGGAGCCCTCCATTGAGGCGGACCATTCCACTTTGGGGCAGCTCTGGTAGGAAGTTTTTCCTGTCATCAAGTCTAAATTTACTTTTCTGTGACTTACACCCATTGCTCCTGGCTCCACACTCTGGTACCAAGCAGAACAAGTGCAATCCCTCTTCCATTTGAGAGCCTTTCAAGTACTTGAACAGAGCTATCAAGCTACCATGTCCCCTCTGAGTCTTCTCTAGGCTAAACATGCCTTTTTCTTTAAACCAGTCCTCATATGGTATGGATTTAGGATGGCTAGGAAGTTACGGGGACTAGGGTAGGAACCTGTAAAAGAAGGGGCAG